CGCCGCCTTGGGCGAAGGGCTGGGAGCGATTCTCGGCACCGGGCAGCGGCCGCCGCTTTAGTAGGAAATTGCTGGTTAATTGGGAAAAAGCGCTGCATGACGAGGAGCGGCGAGTTCCCGCCTCTCGGCGCCGCACCGCTGGCTCCAGCGCAGCTGGGAAATGTCCGAACTGCTGGCAAGTAACTTTTCCTCCCCGTTTCCACAGAGAAATGAGAACTCTGCGCTAGTGTGCGGCTCTCCCGGGGCTGGACAGCTGGTTTCACTTAGATTTGTGTGTGATCAGCCTTCCCGGCATCTTCCTGCTATTTTATCACATGTCAGCGAGTTAGTTTTACCGTATAAGGACTGCGGGCTGCTTCTGGGAGAGGTGGAGCCAGGCTAACTCCAGCTTCCCAGTGGCCCCATCTCCATAGCTTTGGAATCTCGTTTAATTAAAATATGACTTAAAAGGTCTCATCTAGTGGAAGAAGTCCCAGACTACCGCATAACGGATGCCTGTTTTCGACATGATCGATACCTTGTGTGTAAATTTAGTAAGTTAAATACAAAGCCTTCGGATAGAAAGCAAATGAAACTCTGCATAATTTAGGACTAGAGGAATCTTGGTCCAGCTTCCATTTGCATCAGTCACTGAAATCGTTACCAAGACGGTACAGCTATGAATGGAAACCACTTCCTCCAACTTAGGAGGGGCAGTAAGTAATCGAATTTCAGAAGCTGCAGCAAAACATCTGTTTCGCAAAGTGTTTAACACAAAGCATAACACTGTTGCCCTTTCAGGATCTGTAGCCCAAAAGAGTGTATTTTTAAAAAGTGTTAATCCTAAATACTTGCACATGGCGATCATGCTCAGATTTGAGTAGACCTCCATGCTGGATAGGTGAGCAAACCTGCCCACTTAAAGTATGTTTTTGTTTTTTTTCCAAATAGTGGGTGATTAAAGGAGCCATATCTTAATAAACACTGTATTTATAGGGACTCATTTGTTCATATTGTCTGTATGCAAGTATTGCTCACAGCTCTTATTTTTATCTAGTCTGTTTTAAACAATGAGTTTTTCTGACTACTGCTCAGTTTATTCAATAAGATGAAAACATTATTAAGAAATGTTTTCTGCCTAATTCCTAAGGCACCACAGGAAGCAATGAAAAAGGAAGGTGGATTTATTTTAACAACATACCTAATTTTGCCCTCTTCGAGTTACATAGACTGACTCTCCCGTGCTGAGGCTGAGCATATCCTCTGTCCAGCTACCTACGTAAAAATTACATAGCATTTACAGGCTAAAGAGCCCATACTGGATAATGAAATGGCTTTAATTCCAACAGTGTACTATGATAGCATATTCCTGTAAGCTGTGATAGAACCAAGAGCATAAAAAGCAATTGTGGAATTTTTTGGAACAAGTCATTATGGAAACAATTCAGTTTTTAACTTTTGAATTCTACAGATAGATCCAGCCCTCTAAAGTGATTAGAAAATACTTCTCCTTTTTGAATCAATATTTAATTTCTTGTTGTATGGCAGGAGTGAATGATAAGAGGTACCTTTAAAAAAGAAATGAGAAGCGCATACTCTGTACCTTGAAATTCCTGAAATACCTCAGCTTAAACAAATACAAACACAGAGAAAAAGGTTCCTAGAGTTTCCCTGCAGATAGCAAGAAGACTTGCAACGTTAAGGAAATTGGCTAGATGTGAACTTTTGTCGGTGGGCAACTCTCTTCTATATAAACTCAACTCTGGATGATTATTTCATACAGGCTGAAGGTGAGGTGGCAGCTCTGAACAGACGTATCCAACTCGTGGAAGAGGAGTTGGATCGTGCCCAGGAACGGCTGGCTACAGCCTTACAGAAACTGGAGGAGGCTGAGAAAGCGGCCGATGAGAGTGAGAGGTATGTTTCCTTTTTCTGGGTGTGGGGGTAGGGACCTTAAGGGAAAAATGGTGAATATAAATTAAATGAATTTTCCTATATTCCTATTAGCCTTGCAGAACACGATAGTTTGGATTGGTCCTAATGGGGTCACTTTTCAGTTACCAATACTGGAGTCCCCTTTAGGACCTTTGAGATAAAGTGATAAAAAGCTTCTGTGTTAAACATATTTGTTTTGACTTCTGCAGAGGAATGAAGGTTATTGAGAACAGAGCAATGAAAGACGAAGAAAAAATGGAGATTCAGGAGATGCAACTGAAGGAGGCTAAGCATATTGCTGAAGAAGCTGACCGCAAATATGAAGAGGTGAAAGGGATGCTTTAATAAGGAAATGATAAAACATATGAGAGAACTATGAACAACTTTGTTACTGTTCAGTTTAGTTCTTCTTTTTATACTTTCTACTATGTGATGGTTTGACTTTGCAATATTTCCAAAAGGTGTAATTCTAATAGTGACTATAGCACTTACGTATTTACATATTTAATCTTACGTATTTAATAGGTATTTAAAGTTCTTTTGGGAAAAAGTCCCTGTCTTGTATGTGCAGAGCTGTATATTTTATTCTAGTTTACATCAGTCAGAAGGCAAGCATAGGCATAGCGCTTTGAGGGAGACATAACAAGTTATCAGTTGGCTTGATATAGTTATTTTCTCTTTACAGGTTGCTCGTAAACTGGTTATTTTGGAAGGTGAACTGGAAAGAGCTGAAGAGCGTGCAGAAGTGTCAGAAGTGTGAGTAGTTTCGCATACATGGGTGTAGTTTAGAGTACAATAAAGTTCTCCTTACTATGTGAGGATTGTTTTCATAACACAAATATCCATGGTATTTTTCAGGGGTTTCGCTTGTTTAACAGTATCAGTACAGTGTCCAACCATTTAGTAGTTTCATTTCAAAGGCTGCCAGCATTATGGAGAAACATAATGGCCCATTTGGATCTTTTTCATGAAAAATGTTGAGGGGGAAGTTGCTAATACTTCAGCTTCAAGAGTAACTTTCCTTACTTGTAGGTTTATTAAACATGCTCTTCTAACATTAGCATCGGGTCTCCTACAGTGTCCAAGGTGGTACAAAACAGAATGGCTCTTGTACCGAAAGTCAGCTGCAGTGCAGTGCAAGCCTATACGTTTCTTACTGTTTTAAGACATTTCTTAACACAGAGGAGTGTGCAACACTGAGCTTTAAAAGTGTCATTTATTCTTCGACAATGTAAGGTTAAAGTTGTATTTCATTAGGCAGATCTACTGCTAAAAGGCAGCCATGTAGGATACTTGGAAAAGCTTTTGGTGTCCCATAAACAAACTCACTGCTTTTAGACTTATTTACTTAATAACCTGTATTTTTAGACCTTTTGAAAATTAAACAAAGTCATAACAGTGACAGTGGTAACTTGTACTTTTTTTTTCCCCCGTAGTAAATGTAGTGACCTTGAAGAGGAATTAAAGAATGTCACTAACAACCTGAAGTCCCTGGAAGCCCAATCTGAAAAGGTTGCTTCTTTCAGTGAGCTAAGGGATGGTGGGGGGAAGTCAAAACTTGTCATTAAAATTCACAGAAATAATCCAGAAGTACAAAAAAATTTAAGGGTTTAGTTTGACCGCTTGTGTAACAGCGAGTATTGATAACGTTGTATCAGTTCTGCCCAAAACCAAAATACTCAGTAATCTGGTAATTATCTGCAATATTGCTTCCTGCAAATCAGGATTTGACTCTGTTTCCCACATTACTAGGCAGCTGACTGTTCTTGATTTTGTTATCTTGTTAAGAATCTTGTATTGGTTGCTTGCCTTCTTAATAAGGCAAATTGCTAAAACTCCTGCTTTCATTAAACAGTTGTTTCCAGCTAGCCCTAATTGGTATAGAAAAGTTGATGATTTCTTGCACATTCAGCTATTTTTGTGCTGCCTAATAAAGTAAGCCTGTTAAGGACTAAAATAGATACGTAAAGGAACTTTGGACAGCCTCAGTCTTAAAACGATGGTATATGAATCAGTTTGAGAAGTCTTGGTGAAGAGGAGAAAAATATGGGAAGGGTGTTTGCAGCTATCATAAACGGAAAAGTGGTTATTAATAGGTCAGGTTTTTCATAAACATTATTGCTGCTACAACTTCCCTTAAAGAGCGTGTTTATTGTTTTCACAGTACTCGGAAAAAGAAGATAAATACGAAGAAGAAATCAAGCTTCTGTCTGACAAGCTTAAAGAAGTAAGATTATCCATCCCCAAACTGTGCTTTGGCAGCCTTTTTTTAACAGCATCCATTTATTCTATTTATTTGTTTGTTTGTTTGTTAGGCTGAAACACGTGCTGAATTTGCGGAGAGAACAGTTGCAAAACTGGAAAAGTCTATTGATGACCTGGAAGGTATGAAATTACTGATCATGATTTTACAGGTCTTCATTTTAGCTCAGAAAGCAACATTCTAGGAATAAGTATTATATTTTATTGGGAAAGGACAAAAATATTAATCAGATGTATAGCCAGAGCAGCGTGAGACAATTGGTGATCCGTATGTCTGTCCAGCCGGGTACTTCCTGCCCAGAGGGAATTTTCCTGAAAGAGGTTCTCTTCAAAAGTTGCTACCAATAACCTGCCTTTAGCCAACTCACAAATGTGTGTGCTCAAAGGGGCCTTTCTACTTAACAAGAATCATAATCTCATTTAATCTGATGCCTGAAAAACAATTCTTGGCGGAGGGGGGGAAATGTAGATGAAGCTTCTGACCTGGCAGCTGTGTATATTTTTTTTGCTTTCACACTAATGTTTGACTACATATCTTTTCTTCTTCTACTTCCCCCCTCAATTACTTGGTTCGCTGCATTCTGGCTGTCTTCGCATCTTCTGCTATACGCCTCTTCCTCTGGACTGCTTTTCTGCATCTCTTGCTGCAACTTGCCTTCTGCCTTCGTGCCTGATAGATGAGCTGTATGCTCAGAAGCTGAAGTACAAAGCTATCAGTGAGGAGCTCGATCATGCTCTCAATGATATGACCTCTCTGTAATTTGCACCTACTGGGGGGCTTTGACTCGCTGCATTTCTTAAGCTCTTCTTGCCTGTAAGACCTGTCGCTTCTGTGCAACTTCTAAGTGCGATCCTTCAGCCTTCTCTGTAAGATCTGATTTCAATAAAAACGAGTTACCTCTACCTTTAAGCTTTCTGGGTTTTTTTCCTCATGATTCACGTAAAATACATCAGTAATGACACTGAAAGTACATTTAGCTGCTCATGCCAGGGCCAGGCCCCCACAGTCAGCACAGGCGGGACAGTGACCGTGGTGCAGGACCAGCCATGGGAGCAACAGGCCACGCGCACCCTGCGCAGCGCTGAAGAGCTTGGTCAGTCTCGGCACCCCTGATGGCCGGGACAGAACCTGGTGGCCTGGCAAAGGCCTCAGTTTTCGTATTCCCAAAGATGAAAAAGCTTTGAGCTAGCTCTCACTTTGCGTGTTGTTTCACCTGCCTGGTTTAAAATTCTCAGAACGATGGAAACTCTGAAGGACATGTCCTGTACATCGCGTGTTAAACTAAAATACAAGTCTGTCGCATTACATATCAGACCCATCCAGAAACCCTTTAAACAAGAGCCATTACAAAAATAATTATCAGTCCCAAATTTCTTTGATGCAATTATAGTGTTCTCTTAAAAGTAAAGGTGAGTAATGAGGTTATTTATTGAAAGAGAAAAGGCAGTAAAATGTGTGTTTAAAGTCTTGTTTTCTCTCCTTTCTCCCTAGAAAAACTTGCTCAGGCAAAAGAAGAGAATTTGGGGTTGCATCAGACACTGGATCAGACGTTAAATGAACTAAACTGTATATGAAATTGAGAAGAACGCTCAGCGGCCAACAGAAACTTAAACATGTATCTGTATTTACCGTTTCATTCCTCTCTTTCTCTGTATCTTAGAAAAAAAAAAAGAAAATTAAGTTATGAGCAGTGCCCAAAGCGTTCAGGTCAGCGCCCTGGGCGTACCGCGGCCGCAGCCGCGCCGCTGCAGGGCCGGGGCGGC